AGATGAAAATAAATATTTTCAATGCTGAACACACAGCAAATTATTCTGATGACCTTGTGGTAACATATAGCAACAGTGAATGCAAATTAATATCCCTTGTGAAAATTTGTATCTATTATTACCCAGGTGGATGATCAGAAATTTCATACGCACATAAGTTAATCCATTCTGCTGCAACAAAGACTGCAAATAATTAGATCCTATTACACCAATTACACAATGCTGTTGAAATGAATGGTGAGGAATTTTCTTATTTGGTTTCTCAAATATTTTGATCTTCGTGGGATTTTTTATGACCAGCAATATCAATATTTCTCATCATTCAGACAAAATTAAGTGTTCTTGACGAACAACAAGTGTCATTTTTTTGGGGAGTCGTGGGGGTCAATTCCAATTTGCCAATTCCCCCCTTCCCTTGCTCGGTGTCCAACCTTGTCCCTGTGAAGTACAGTGAAGTGCTCCGATAAAGGTGCTATATAAATGCATGCTGTCCTTCCCTTGAGGTAAGATAGTTACCTTAGTCAATATAAGTATTCTGCAAGAGATTCTGTTGAGGAATTGATGAAACTTACTTCACCAATGCCTGCTGAAGCGCTCCAGAACTCTACCCTGCGTGAAGGGCGCTATATAAATGCAAGTCGTTGTTGTTGTTGCTGCTGCAACACACATTCAAAACAGCCACCACATCATCTTGAATTTGTTATGCTGTTAAGTAGATAGAATCCAGAATCTTAGGCTCAGAATAATAGCCCAACCTAAAACATCACTTAAAAAATGACTAGTAGGTATTTTGAAACTGATCTAGAACAAATAAACAAATTCAAGTCCAACAATGATCACAGAATTTGTACAATAAATAAAACACTTAGATCCAAACTTTCATATGATTTTCAAATTAAAAACATCTCAAAACATCATGCATCTTGACTCAGAATCTTGATTTGACGGGACTGGGTCGACCCAGTGGCTTAGCACATCACTTGCTGCTGAGTTCAAGTCTAAATCCACCATGATTGGATGGAAATCTCCTGTGTCTCCTGGCTGCAAAAGTCCTACATGAAATGAATTTTATATCAAGCGCAGCAGAAAATGTCCACAATTTGGTGCTGCAGAAATGTACAATTTTTGCACAATAAGAACCAAAGGGTGGCTGGTGTTGGAAGTGCAAGTATTAATGTGAAACTCGAATCTGTTTTTGCATGCAAACCCAGGGAGATTGATAATTATGAACACAAATAGTTCAAAGGAAATTCCAAGCAGAAATCTCACTTCCTCAGCTACAAATTAATGATGTCTATAGTGATGGCTTTGGGCTATATGTTGATGAAACAGTAGCATCACTTGGGGACTAATACATAATTCATAAGTGAAGCATCGAAATGAGCTTCGTTGTGAAGCAGAGAATTCATCCAGGTACAAAGATGGTACTTAGGATCCATGCTATAAATGTAAACAATTACAGCAACAACAATTTGGACTTATGACTTCAGAGAAAATGCCTCAAAGCACTTTGCAAAGACTGGGTAGGAGCCCAAGCTAGGGGAGAGGAATGGTGGGGGGAGGTGGGTGAAGGTGAAGTTAAAGGGATTGGTCTTGAGATGGATTTTGAAACAGAGGGAGGACAGGATAGGTGCAGAGGGGTAATGTTTCCAATGGGGAATAAAATTGGTTTGTTACAGTGCAACTTATTTCACTTATTAAGAGTGTGCATCAATTTAGATTGCATGAAAACAATCCTGATTCCAGTCAGATCTGATTCCACTGCATGGCAGACGATCGTAAGATAAGACACCTTGGATTTCATCTGCTATTCCGATTGAGAATCAAACTTTTGTCACAAGGTTTATGCCTATTAACACAGTCATGATTCAGGAAGGTATATATGTAAACGATAGAACGAACACAAGGAGCGGTCTGATGGAGGGGAGAAAGGGTGAAGACAGTAAAAGAAAGAAGGCTTCTGAATCCTGATATATTATCTTCTTCAGCAGACTTTTCTTAAAATTAATTAGGAAACTGTCTTGTAAATCTCTTTGTGCAACTTAAAGTAGCACCGCTTACCTTGCCCTTGCCCTACAGAGTTTTCAGGAAATAACATTATTATTCTTTACTCATCTCATTGGAATAACTTTTTATATGAGTGTAAAGGGGGAACAGAACACATGTGGAGAAGTACTTTTTAATGAAACATTTGTTTTCATCATAGTGAGAATGTGAGTCTGGAGACATGGAGAACATTTCCACTTTCAGCAACCATTGTCAGTAACACAGGTTCACATGTCAAGTACAGCATATGGCAAATACAGACTAAAAGTCCCTCTGCTTTATCTCAACAATATGCTTTAATGTCATACTCAAAAGAACATTCTTAAGACACCACTATCAACGTTTCTATTTCTTACACCAGACATTTTTTGAGTGAATTGCCAATTTTATTTCAAATTCCAAGCAATTTGATGGTGTAGATTCATGCCCACTAGCAATTGGGTTGCAAGGGACCCACATAATTTCATACAGAATCTTTACAGCTGCAATTTGTTTTATACAGTTGCATTCAGCAAATTATTTTTTCTTACTTGAAACTGCCTACTGTATTCTATGAATATTTGATTTATTCCAGTAATCTGCTACAAAACCAGTCCATCAATATTCATTTCTTTTGTTTTGTGGAGTTGAGAAATTGAACAGTAGAATTCAAGCTTGGTCCCAGAGGTGAATGATACATTACCAGAACACTGGGCCCCAGAGTTACTCGGGTAAGTACTTTCAGCATATGGTTATCATTCAGCAATATAACTCCATTACAATGGAGCATCCTTGAGGAGATCTAAAGTAGTGTCTTCGAACATCCAAATTCTGATTGCAAGTTGCTCCTGTAATTCCATAGATATTGTAATCTTTTATTACTGAATACTCTACTAATGTAAATCAATATATCATAAGTTTACTGTCATACACTTGAATAGTACTGAGTTATTTAACAAATGACTGCTTGACATTATTCTCCTGCAACAACAGCAACAATAACAACTATCATTTATATATTTATTCGATGTTCATTCATGCTCAACTGGATCGATTTCTCAGTACTTCATATTACAGATAGGCACTAAATGGTCAACCTATCTCACTTCCTTAGCATGATCTTAAATATTTAGCAATTGGTAGGGATTAATGTACACTGATAATAGTGGACAAGGAATCTGAGTGAATGCATTTTCTATATGTAAACTAAAGGGTCAGTCTACAGATGTCCTCTGAGGTCCTGAGAGATTATATCAATAAAGGAAAATCATTGTTCTTCTTAAAAGATTCTTTATTGGAGTGAGGAATACATTCATTTTACAGGAGAAGCAGATATGAAAGATGTGAAATATTAGTGTTGCAGTAGGTGAACAAGGATGTATCACCAAGCCCTACACAAATGCATATTTTGAGTGCATTGATCTGTGTACTAACAAAAGTACAGACAAGGACATGAGCTCTTTGAGCAGATAAAGAGGAGAGCTCATCCTCAATTAAATGAATGTAGAACGATGATTAATAGCCGAAACAACAAGAAAGAAAAGGTTGACTGGTTAAGCAAGACTTGTGCAAATAACACAAGAACAATGGTTCAATTTGAATAATGCACAGGGATTGCTGAACCTCTTTCTTATAAAGTAACTTGTCGGTTTAATTGCATGTCACTAATGAAATAATAGATTCAGAAAACCTTGAATAGATGTGCTCTACAATAACGCCTTGCATTTATAGAACGCCCTTCAAATGGGATAGCGTCTCAAGAGTGCCATGTACTTCATGGGGGGGTGGGGGGGGGGAACCATTAATTACAAATTAATATTTTAAAGAAAGGTTATCCAGTTAAGAAAATTGCCTTATGTAATGTATTAATTATTACCACTCATAATCATCAGATTACATACCACATGTTTACCCTCATCAAATTGTGTGGTATAGTAGATCCACAGTAATGTTTTCACATTTCATTGTAGTTTTAAATGTTTAGAGAAAGGCTAATTTGTCACTGTCCTTGAAATTTAGGTCATTTTAAAAAAATGATTTCATTGGGGCTTATTGAAACTCAAACTATCCTGTGTATTTTGCAGTGAGAATATACCCAGTCATTCCAAAAGTTTAAAACATTTTAAACATACATCAAATGCAATTGCAATTATTATTATTGATGCAAATAGAATTATTCACGTGGCAACACTGGTGTAATAGGCGGTCGTAAAAAAAATAACAGCTATAATTTGGTATCAAATCCAAATCCTGACCGGGGGGGTGGGGGGGGGCTTGACCCCATAATCTTCTAACTCTGGGATGTCCTCCTGACATGAAAGGCGCTATACAAATGTAATCTTGTTGCTGTTGTTGTAGTAACTCAGGAGGCGAGAGTGGTACCCACAGAGGCACCCGGCTGGTCATGTGCAATGTAATCTGGGGAACCACGAAGATGGGAGCGCGTTTTAACCACAAGAAGCCCTCCTTGTCGCCGCCTTGGCTTAAAGTTTGCCTTATTCCCATTTCAGAAGCAGTTTCTCTCTCGACCACTTGAACTGAGAGTGTGTGTGAGAGAGAGAGAGAGAGAGAAAGAGAGTGAGTGAGTGGACTGCACCAATTTCAATCTACTACCAAGTTCGACTCGTCCACTTTTTACACATTACCCAGGATTTCACCTACATTCACACGAGATATCCTGAGCTGCATATAGATATATCTCTCTCTCTATATATATATATAGACACACACACACACACTCCCCAGGACAGAAAGAGAGCAAACCTGGTGTGCATCTCTCTTTGCATCCACGACACAACAACAACAACAACAACAACAAAAAAGACCCTCTTATTTGCCATTCCAGGACTAGGAAGATTTTGCTGGTTCCTAAAGTTTGTTAATCCTTTGATCTGTGCCTCCCTGGTCGGCGCTGGTGAATGGTGAGAGCCCCCGGGAGGGAGGGAGGGAGGGAGGGAGAGAAGGAGAAGGAAGGAGAGAGAGAGAGAGAGAGGGGAGGGATCTTCACAACGAGGCCGCTGTTTAGGGGGAGCAGCAGCCGCCGAGGAGACGGGAAGCACCGGGTCGGGGGCTCGGATGCAGATGTGGAGCGACCTCTTGCCCCGGACTGGCAGCCTTTGGGTTTGAATGCGTTGGCCGGGAAAATGCCGGGGTGGAAGAAGAACATTCCTTCGTGTCTGCAGACTGAGCAAGAAAGAGGTAAGGAAGAAGGGAGGGAAGTGGGGAGGGAGGGAGAGAGGGAGGGAGGGAGGGAGGGAGGGGGAGGAAAAGAGGAATGTATAGATAGAGAGAGAGAGGGAGAGAGGGAGAGAGACACAGGGGCTGGTGCTGGTGGTGGTGGTGTTGGAGGAAAACCTGTCCTCATGTCTGTCTCTCCCACACAGTCAAGTCAGTCAACTGAGAAGTGGCTATTGCTGCGAGAGAGGGGACTGCGGGAGCCAGAAATTAGCCACTCATCCCTCACATAGTTCCCGAACTGCCTTTACCCACTCACCCACTCACCCACACTCTGCCCTCCCTCCCCCCCACCCACTCACCCACACTCTGCCCTCCCTCCTCCCCACCCACTCACCCACACTCTGCCCTCCCTCCCCCCCACCCACTCACCCACACTCTGCCCTCACCCACCACCCACTCACACACACTCTGCCCTCACCCCCCACCCACTCACCCACACTCTGCCCTCCCTCCTCCCCACCCACTCACCCACACTCTGCCCTCCTCCCCTCCACCCACTCACCCACACTCTGCCCTCCCTCCCCCCCCACCCACTCACCCACACTCTGCCCTCCCTCCTCCCCACCCACTCACCCACACTCTGCCCTCCCTCCTCCCCCACCCCACACTCTGCCCTCCCCCCACCCACTCACCCACACTCTGCTCTGCCCCCCCCCACCCCACTCACCCACACTCTGCCCTCCCTCCTCCCCACCCACTCACCCACACTCTGCCCTCACACCCCCACCCACTCACCCACACTCTGTCCTCCCTCCTCCCCACCCACTCACCCACACTCTGCCCTCCCCCCCCCCCCCCCCCCCTCCCTCCCCCCCCACCCACTCACCCACACTCTGCCCTCCCTCCCCCCCCACCCACTCACCCACACTCTGTCCTCCCTCCCCCCCCACCCACTCACCCACACTCTGCCCTCCTCCCCCACTCACTCACCCACACTCTGCCCTCCCTCCTCCCCCACCCACACTCTGCCCTCCACCCCCCACCCACTCACCCACACTCTGCCCTCACCCACCACCCACTCACCCACACTCTGCCCTCCCTCCTCCCCACCCACTCACCCACACTCTGCCCTCACCCCCCACCCACTCACCCACACTCTGCCCTCCTCCCTCCACCCACTCACCCACACTCTGCCCTCCCTCCTCCCCACCCACACTCTGCCCTCCCCCACCCACTCACCCACACTCTGCCCTCCCCCCCCCCCACCCCACTCACCCACACTCTGCCCTCCCTCCTCCCCACCCAATCACCCACACTCTGCCCTCCCTCCCACCCACTCACCCACACTCTGCCCTCCCCCCACCCACTCACCCACACTCTGCCCTCCCCCCCCACCCACTCACCCACACTCTGCCCCCCCCCCCCACTCACCCACACTCTGCCTCTGCCCCCCCACTCACCCACACTCTGCCCCCACCCCCCATTCACCCACACTCTGCCCTCCCCCCCACTCACCCACACTCTGCCCCCCCACCCACTCACCCACACTCTGCCCTCCCCCCACCCACTCACCCACACTCTGCCCTCCCCCCACCCACTCACCCACACTCTGCCCTCCCCCCACCCACTCACCCACACTCTGCCCTCCCTCCCCCCCACCCACTCACCCACACTCTGCCCTCCCCCCCACCCACTCACCCACACTCTGCCCTCCCCCCCACCCACTCACCCACACTCTGCCCCCACCCCCCCACTCACCCACACTCTGCTCCCACCCACACTCTGCTCTGCCCCCCCCCCACCCCACTCACCCACACTCTGCTCTGCCCCACCCCCCACTCACCCACACTCTGCCCCCACCCCCCCATTCACCCACACTCTGTCCCCACCCCCCACTCACCCACACTCTGCTCTGCCCCCCCCACTCACCCACACTCTGCCCCCACCCACACTCTGCTCTGCCCCCCCACCCCACTCACCCACACTCTGCTCTGCCCCCACCCCCCACTCACCCACACTCTGCTCTGCCCCCCCACCCCACTCACCCACACTCTGCTCTGCTCTGCCCCCACCCCCACTCACCCAAACTCTGCCCCCACCCCCACTCACCCACACTCTACCCCCACCCCCACTCACCCAGACTCTGCTCTGCCCCCCCCACTCACCCACACTCTGCCCCCACCCACACTCTGCTCTGCCCCCCCACCCACTCACCCACACTCTGCTCTGCCCCCACCCACCCACACTCTGCCCCCACCCCCCACTCACCCACACTCTGCACCCACCCCACTCACCCACACTCTGCACCCACCCCCACTCACCCACACTCTGCACCCCCCCACCACTCACCCACACTCTGCCCCCACCCACACTCTGCCCCCACCCCCACTCACCCACACTCTGCCCCCGCCCCCCACTCACCCACACTCTGCCCCCCCACCACTCACCCACACTCTGCCCCCCCACCACTCACCCACACTCTGCCCCCCCCCACCCCTTCCCTTATCATTCACATTTCTAACTGAAGTCTACCCCCCCCACCCCCCCACCCCCCTCCCGTGGGAGATGCTGATCTCACCACAAACGTCTTTCTAAAACAAGTTGCGAGAAACTTTCCCCCTTTCTTTTTTTTGGGGGGGGGGGTTGGTTTCATGGCTCTGCAAAAGCTCTCACCGGACAGGGTCTTTCAGGCCTGTCTTCACTGAAGTGCGGATCGCCTTTGTATTTAAGTGGGATCGCGGTCTCCGATTGAAACCCAAGTCAACTTTTTTTAAATCCAAAAAAAATGCCATTGGGAAATGCACTGCGGGGGAATGGGTTTCATGGCGGGGAGAGGGCATCCGACGAGTGGGAGATCACTGGTGCGGGCGATGCACTCGGGGATTGGTGACCAGTCTCGTTAATTGCAGTTCATTTCACGTCCAGTTTCTTGTCGTGGTTTTCCAGTTTGTTGGTGAGATTGAGCCGTGGTTTGCAGACACCTGGTCACAGTGCAGAGCGAGACTGTGTTAATTCCACAGTGATGCTCTCCCCCCCCCCCCACCTCCCCCCTCCCCCCGGGCACTGGACACAAAACAACCAATGCAACGCGTGTTTGGTTCCCTATTGCACACACACACACACACAAAATTGGTTATCCGAGTTACAAGATGTTTGATCAACAAAAAAATTGGGGTGTGTTTTTTTTACTCGATCGGTGCAAGTTTGAGCTTAAATGCAATGTTTGTTTGTTTTTCAAATAAAAGAAATCCCAGTTCACTGTACCTGGACATCAACCACTGGTCAGTGGGTGTTTGGGTTTCTCTTTTTAACGTCGCTACAATGTGGGACCTTGACAGAATGAATGACTTTTGTGGGACGTTGCTTTTTTCCATTCATTTTAGCCCTTAAGTTTGAAAGTAATCCCAAACCCTTTTCGGAAATGAATTAATAGAATAATAGGACTTGTAATGGGAAATATAGATTTTGTTAAAAAAAACATGCTGGGAGGGGGCAGGGAATCAGGAAGAACAACAAAACTTTGCATAGAAAGGATATCCATCAATGATGGTCTTCTTCTAACAGTGACAGTAGAACTGAAAGTGGTGCTCAACTGCCTCCAAAAGTTCCCAGCACAAGATAGCTATTGAATGCACCCCCCCAAATTTGTAAACAATTAACAATTAATTTGAATAAAATGACTCCCATTTTCCAAGGAAAGTAACAGTAGAATTTTCTGTGTTGGACTTTAGTGCAGAGCTTTCAAGATGCACCTTCCCGACTGGTAACCTTTGTGGTTGACAGTTGTACGTTGAACGTACACTGTGGCTGGTGTGAATGTGCCATCCTTATTATCTTTGCACAACTGACAATTGTATAAAAGCCTCAAATGGATAAAACTTGTTTTTGGGGGGGGGAGGTGGGGGGAGCTTTCACTTAATTTTGGTTGATTTAGTGAAAAATAGCTATTCTTAGCCACCTAGTTACAAATGATGTCCCCCCAACCCCACCCCACCCCCCTCATTAGATCCAGTTGTCATTAAAATGTTATGTTCCTCTGCACTGATACAACAACTGGGAAATTGTGTTGACTGCAGTATTAATGCCGCTGCCCGGTGAGAAATACAAATGGCTTCACTCAGCCAGTTCACTGCACAGTGGGCTCCAGATAGCTTGCATCTGTTTGAATGGAATGAGGGAATTATAATGAGGGCTAAAAGATCTCACATATTTGTATTGAATAGAATTGAATTCTCAATGGTAATATTTTTCAAAATGTTTGGATTATTTTTTTCCCCACCAAGTATGGCAGATTTTATTCTGTACAAATCAAACCAATTCAATTCAACCCATCACATCCACATTATTGGGTTGAAGTCAGTGACTTTTATATCTGCTCATCCTGTTGGAAAATTTATTCTTTCTCAATGTCCAGTTAATGTGATTTTCATTAAGATCAACTGCTTGTTTAAAAAATGCAGGAGGAGTTTTGAATGTTGTCTCAATGCATACATTTATGTATGGATACCAATTTACCCACTTATATCCAGCAGAGAAATATCTTCGAGTCAAATGCAGTTTCTCAAGTAAGTAGATAGATGAGAGGAAATATATGTAACAAAGCTTTGGTCTACCAGCTACCTTGTGGTGACTTGCATTACCTGTGACACATTTTCAATCCCAAACTGAAAAATAGCACCTTTCATTGTTTTCTAAAACTCACAATTAGATTGCTGTAATATGAAGTTCAACAATCTCATTTCAAATATGGAATTTGAATAGGGCACTTTAATATTCAAACACAATGACTAAATGGAATGGTACAACTGGTACTTACAGTTATTGTAGAACATCCATTCTGAGTCAATAGTCAAGAGTCAGGAGGTTTTTAATGGAAAAAGTTATCAAGAACAATTGGGCCCAGTTGCAAACAGATAATTAGTTTAGAACTACAGATAATACAGACCATCAATATCCTCAAGTAAACATCCATTCATTCCCTTACTCTGCTATCTGCAGATCATCAGACCTGGTACACCCTG